CCTCCTATATATAAGTATATATATTTATATCTATATTTACATTTATAAGGAAACTTTTAGACTGAGTAGATCTTTTCTCCCTCTTTTCTCTTAAGCCATCTTTGGATAAACAAAAGATAATTTTAAGCTAGTGAAAAATCAGCAAAAATGTGAACTTACCTTCATTCAACCAAGAAATATTATTTTTATCATTTTCAAAATTCTCTGCAGCTCTGATTTTTATCTTTCCCAGCTCAGTTTCTGACATCTGAGTGAAAACAGAATTGATGAAATAAAAAGTTTCATTAACAACCCAAATTCACAATATTGAGCTTCTCTTCCACTGTATCTTGATTCTTAGCTGCATTTTTTTTGTTCATTGCCTAACATTCAAACTCTTATAATGCTAACCATTAGTCTCATTCTTAATGCTTTTTAAAATGTTAAATAATTTGTATATCCAGTTACAGTCTTTGGTAACATAAACTGCTATAAATTGTTACAAATGAGCTCAGTAATAAATTCCTAGCCTCAGAGGACAACCCATATACATCTAGCCACAGGATTGCAAAAATGATGCATGCTCCGGTTTAATGGGATTCTTAGGTCTCAGAAAGGCAAAGCAGGCTGCGAAATGAAATATAATAAGGTAAACAGTGATGAAAATCACAAAGGGAACTTTAACAGTGTGTGACCCTCCCACGCATACACCCCAGGATAACCTTTCTTTATCACTTTCAGCAATGTATTTGGCCTCATGAGAATGAAACCTAAAGCATGCAAAGTTATTGTAGTTAAGGTATTACCGAGAGAGAGCGATTGAATTGCATGCAGTCCCTTGAACTTGACTTTCAATATTCTTAGCCGGACAGGACTGTCCACTCTTCATGTAAAGGATGTCCTATACTTCCTAGGAACCCAAACACCCTAAAGTACCCTCAGCTGTTTACCTGGTTGTTCCAAGATGAGGAGACAGGTGGAAGAAGGAGGAGGAGGATATGGGAGCTTTGGAACCAGTTCTTCTTGTAGACTCCCTTGTTTTCTGTGGGTGTCCAGCATTCCCTCACACTGACAGAAGTGAGCAGAAGAGCAACTACACTCCCTGCCTCCCTCCCTTTGTCCCTCCCTCCCTCCCTGTGTGGTGCTAAGTCTGTAAAGCTGCCAGAGCCATCCAAGTGACTGCTGAGAGCTGAATTTTTTTTTTTTAGTTCTTATTAAGCCTTGGCATTCAAACAGAGTGAAAACCAACTTGACGGCGACTATTGAAATGCCACACAACCAAGTAGGATGTACCAAATAGACTCTTTTGCTATTGGTTTAGAGTTAGGATAACTTAGGGTAAAATCTTCAAGGAAATAAAGGGGAAACTATCAATCCTTCCCCTTTCCCAAACAAACAGCAACAAATGCAATTAATTATAGAATATTTGGCCTGAAATAAAGTTGGGGAAAATACTATGAAATGGTAGGATCTAGGAGTTTACCATGCAATTAATTAGCTTTTTGGGCAGAAATTTCCCAAATTCTTCATGGATTACAGCTTGAATGGAAATGTGAAGTTGCTGATACTTTCTAGGAAATCTCCAAAAATATTTACCTAATCATTGAGCACATTGAGCCCAATTGTAAGGAAATTTTATTTATTCCAATGCTCCATTTTCTCCTTGTGTATTTCCTCAAGTGATTTAGATTATTGCTTTAAGTGGAACATGGTTGGTCAAGGCAAGGAGTAAAAGGGACAGAGCAGCTGACTTCAAGAATTTGAAGGGCTTCCACATGAAGAGTGATTGAACTTTTTCTTTTGAGGTCCTCAAGGGTTGTTGTTGTTCGTCCTTCATTTTTGAAGAGGACCAATGGTATCATGATGTTGGGGTAAAATAGTGGAGCATGTCTTGACTTGTGCATGAATTGTATATAAGTGAGGCAGAGTTGTGCAAAGTTGGCAGTCTCACTCTTTCTTCCAGAGTCATTGAAGTCCAGTGATAGGACAAAAATTAAGATGACTGGCAATGGCCTGGGATGCAATCAGTGATGGTGGAGTCTTGGATGTCTTCTTAGACATCTAAGATCTTAGACATCTAAGATCTTCTTAGACATCCAAGATCTTAGATCTTTGGAGAATTCATAGATCTCCACAGCTTCTGCTTCAGTCACTGTCATGGCTATTGGAACAAATTGTTATCATCCATCCATTCTGCCAGGAGAAGTCTTCAGATGCTCACCAATGAGTTTGAGGCCTGTTGGTTACCCTCAACCCAGTTTAGCCTATCTACTGAGATAAGGTTTTACCAGTTGTGGTTACTGAGCATGCTACAGCTTCTTGGAGACATAGGTAAGAGTGGGGTGAAAGGTGGCCACCAAAGGTGGTAAGCAGTCCTGAAAAGGGTTTGGCAAGCCCTCATACCAAAAGTATAAGCTATCCCTGAACACCATAAATCAAATAGAGCTTTAATGTCAGGAAAAGCTTATTAACAATTAGGGTGGTCCCAAAGTAGAACTCAGGATGTAGGAAGTTTCCCCTCACTAGAAATTTTTAAATAAAGACTTGATGATCACTTGTAGACAATGTTGAAGAGAACTAAATATTCCCAATGCTTTGCATTGTGATTGGCACATTATAAGTACCGAATAAATACTTGTTGATTGATTGATTGGATAGGAGAAGTAGAGAGGATTACATGAAATCTAGAAAATTATATAGTGCTTTTGGAGATCTTAATCTATTATCTGACATGAAAAGTATCTTTGTTTTTGTGATATAAATGGTTTCTCAGAGATGCTATATGGTTGTGAACCTTAGAACACCATGCTCCCTGAATAATTAAAGGTTGGTAACTCAGAGGACAGTGGAGAGAAGCATGATGGGTAGAAATAAGCTGTATCGTATATCCAATGATAATTGATATTCAAGAAGCGGCATGATCCATCATGATGGGATACATCATTGAGAAAAAGTATGCTCAGAAAAGGAAAACATTTGGTCAGATAGTAAAAATGAGGGATAACAAATGGAGCACATAAGCACTACTCATTTCCCAATAGAGGCAAAGGGATCTAGAGAGATGCCTCTATTTTCCTGAATAGATCCTCTATGGAGGAGCTATGGGAGAACATGAATAAGAATAACAGCACACAATGAGAAATTTTGGATATTTTACCATCTCCACAAATTGAGCAATATCCACACTGATGAGATCATAGATCCATTGAAGTATTGAATTTATTTTATATTTATCTTTGGTCATTTATGGCTCAATTTTTTGTTACTGTATTAATATTTCTTACTCTTCATTCGTTCTCCAGTATTGACGCTAGTAGCATTTTCTCTTTACGGTACCATTTTTCTAATTTAATAAGGTCACCATGACTCTTTACAGGATTATAGAAGCATAGGATCATAGGTTGAAAGCTGGATGGGACTTCAGATACCATTTAGTCTTATCCATTCATTTTAGAGATGGGAAAACTGAGACCCAGAAAGGTTCGGTGACTTATTTAAGATCACAGCAGTGGTAAGCGTCAGAGCCTGGATGTGAACCTAGTCTTTTTTTTTTTTTTTTCTGAATCAAGTCAATGTTCTTTCTTCCTCTTGCACTTATCTTCTAGAGCATTGGAATCAAACTCAAACGGAAACAGGAGCCACTAAATCATATGGAGGGATCCCTGGTAGCTTCACATTGATTTAGAAAACCACATAATAACATTATCTATGTTTTGTTTTGTTAAATATTTTCCAATTACATTTTAATCCAGTTCTGCCCCACTCTCCATTCAGGAATGTTGTGGCAAGATGAGTGATATCTCTTTTCTAGAGTATCAAAAACATGTTTTAGTGTAACAAAGATTTAATCTGTCATAAATCACTTATACCACTCTATTTGAATATTTACCATGAAATTATTACATAAATCATGTTTTAATTATCTATATTAAATCTGGGGTCACCAGATACTAAATTGTACCCCACCCAAATCCTAAATTGTAAACTCTTTGACATAAAGGACGATTAGTTTTAGCCTTGTCTCAAGATCTAATGCAGCTGGTGGGTCACAAAGCATATAGTTTTAAATTGAATTAATGAGCTGACCAGCAAAGACAACAAATAGATTGGACTCTTAAGGGCCTGTCCTTAGTCAGCTATGTTCCACCACTGAGCTAGTGCTCTCCTTATGGGAATGTAGCCCTCTATAATGATGTCAGCTTTTGAGCCATCTGTTCAGACCCCTATCAATTACAAAACATGGTCAATACCACATTTTTTCATAAATTTCCAAGCACCATTTCAGATGAATAGTAATACAGACATTTAAATAAATTCATGCAAAATTTAGATGGGCTAATCTTATATATATATATATATATATGACATATATATATATGACACTTACTTTTAAGTTAAAAACTCCTTTATTTGACTAAGAATCAAAAGAAAATGGATGCCTCTTCTCTTGATAATGCTAAAGGCTAAAGAAATTCCCTTACATAGTGGTTTTCATTTTTCCTATTTAAATTAATGAGCCAAAGAAGCCCTGTCCAGGAATGTCTTAAAGCTTGTGTTATCTTGCTTAAATGTGGTTTTGCTTACATTTGTTACTGCAGACACGATTTTATGTACTATTCCCTTCATAATTTGATTCCATTTATTTTGGATCATGCATCAATATTTCCAGCCCCTAATCAAAATTTGATCTTAAAATAGAATCCTCGAGGGCAAGCTGCTCAGCATAGCCAAACATAGATTAGACCAGATGAGAAGGTCATTGTATGTTTGGTATTCTTGTTACTGGTAAATAATAATAAGACATAGAAAGCCAGGCCAGGACCTTTTTTTGAAATAAGTAAATTTTAGATAACAAGAAAATGCTTAATACTCTACTTAATAATGAACTTTTAAAAAAAAATACATCTCTGGATTGTGTTAAACTCTTACATAAAAATTCCTAAAGAGGTGTTGCCAAATCAGTTAATAGGATATACCAAAACAAGGATTCCCAGACGTGATCTCTAGGTGATCCATGAAGCTGGTCATACAGTAAATTGCACAAAAGTTCAATGGTGACCAACTAACATGTAGGAGGCAGGATTTGAACTCTTTCTTTCTGTCTTTCCATCTTCAATGCTAGCACTCTCCCCACCTTATCATAACAATGATTGTCCATGAAGGCAGAAGTTGCAAGCATTGACATTTAGGGTAGGAGAAGGTAGTAATAGACATATAAGTTATGGAATTTTAAATTTAGAAGGGACATTAGTAACCCCCTTGACCTAC